CGCATCCCTGTTTCCGTGCGTGAGTCTTAGGAGCAGGTCGAAACAATGAGGGCCTGAAAATGGCCCTCCGTTTCAGGCTGAAAACTCTGGGTCTGAAAAGACCCAGAAATAGGCTGAAACGAGGTAGGGCCTGCAGGCCCTCGTTTTTCAGCATCCAGGCTGAAATGAACGGGGCCTGTAAGCCCTAAGTTTTAGGTTTTTAGGCTGAATGTCCGGGACGGGCCCTGTAGGGCCTGTGTGGCTATGCAGTATGCCACATTGATCCTCCTTTACCAACAACGCGAGGACGATGCTCAGTCTACAAGCTAGCGTTTTGGCAAGCAACTTGTACGACACGTTGAGCAAGGCTATGGGCCTGTAATTCCTAACTTCCGCCTTGTCGCCTTTCTTATAAAGGACAATGATAATGTCGTTCCGCATGTTAGTGGAAAGTTTCCCTCCAATTAAGACAGAGTTGTAAATTTCAACTAAGTTGTCACCCACTTCTTCCCAGATCGTTTGGTAGAGTTCCACAGGCAGACCATCGTCCCCTGGTACTTTCCCATGTGCCATGGTCTTAAGAGTCTGGCCAGCTTCTTCCTTCGTGATTGGTCTGTCTAGCAGAAGACGGGCAGTATCAGACAAGCGGTCCGTGGTGTTGTTTCAATGACCAGTGTGCAAAAAGAGATCCTGACAGATGTCCTTACCCTGTAGGCGCGAGGTGAGGATATCCCTATAATAGAGTGCTGCATACTCACTCAATAGGGCTGGATCCTTGGCATGGGGTGCTTGGGGGTCGAAAGGATGCATTAGCTCACTTATTGGCTGCGCAACTTGTCTGGGAATAAGTTTCCGAAAAGACTCTTTGGTCATTCGGTCATAAACAACAATTCCTCTAACCCCCAACTGCTCAGCCAAGACTTCTGATTTCTGTTGTTGTAATGCATCCCATTCTGATACTAATTTGTTCCTTTCCCTTTCCCAGGCTGCCCGTGAGATCGGGTGGTCGTTCATCTTTCTCTCCACACTCTTTATCTTCCTTCTAAGCTTTGATTCCTCTCTATTCTTGCTCCATGCTAGAATCCTCAAAAAGAGATTGAGGAGGTTTAAGAAGATAGTGGAGCCGACTTGCCACCACTCGTCTAAAGTCTGGTACAACCATTTAGCACTCTCCCAGTCTGCCCAAAAACTCTTCATCCAAGCTACTAGCCCGTGATCTTCAAGATTCTGGACATTAAATCGAAAGTACTCCTTCCCTCGTTTCGGTAATGCTGTCTGTAGTTGCAAAATGACTGGTTTGTGATATGAGATGTTGTGGGTTGATTCCTTGACTGACTCTGTTTGCTCCCAAAGATTCTCGAAGATGAGAAAGTAGTATAGTCTACGGCTTATGATCCCTATTCCCTCTCGATAGTTCGAAAACCACGTATGTCCCTCCTCGTAGGGCTGGGTCAGTCGGTACGGATCAATTAGGGAGTAGCCTTCTATCATATTTAATAAGTTAGTGATATTTGTCGGGTTTTGACTGCCTGCTTTCGTCATCGTCGAGTCTAGGGAGACATTCTAGTCTCAGGTTGGGATAACAACACTCAAATCATCAAAGAAAATCCCTCTCTCACGCCTATCTGTTGGAGCATAAATGGAAACAACTACCCATTTTGTGTCATCATACCACAGCTTCACCCACGCCCATCGTCCCCAAAGATCTGCGAAATAATCAATAATTTCAAAACCAGCATCCCTGTGCAGCAAAATAGCCACCCCCCCCCTGGACCCCTGGGCTGGAGACCAGATTTGGGGCCCATCCCACCATTGTCCCAATTCTCTAATACGGTCTTCATTTAGCTTGGATTCCTGCACACATGCTATTTGTATTCGCTTGTCATGGATCTATGACTTGAATCGGGCTTTCTTAAACCTACCTGAAGAATCACCCAGACCTCTGAGGTTCCAAGTGGCGAGACGAAGCTTACCCATTTCGACTCAATCTCCCAGTTCCCTGTTGGATAGGAGCAGAGGAGCTCGTACTTGTCGGCAGCACTTCCCAGGGTGAGATGAGGACCTCCCTGATGAATCTCGAGTTCATTTTTCTGTCCCTGGCTAACTTCCCATCCAGGTCCACCAGAAACTCGCCTGAGCGGATAGGTGGAACTCGAATTCTGCACAGGTCTTGTCGTCGGCCTTCCGTAAACCATACCATGGGCAACAATCTCAGGCCTTCTTGTTCCAGCTTAAGCTGAGCTTTGTCAAGTCTCGCGTCAAAGATTGGAGTAAAAAATTTCAGTTTCCGATTGTTTGGGAGGTCCAGAATGAATCTGCCCATTGGTTCGTCTGGTATCAGCCGAACGAAGAATTTG